ATTAATTATATGTTAAGCAATTTAAGATAATGTAAGATTGATTATTTTTATCATACCTCGTCAAAAAATATTCTAGTATTTAACTTGTTTTTTGATGCCAACACAGAGGGAATAACAGGTGTACGTACGTGTATCTCTAAAACGAGTAATCGATCACCAATTTTATACAATTATACAATAATCATAAGTATTAATAGAGTAAACCGTTATAAAGGCAAGTCCCATATTGCACAAATCCAAATCACACGAAAATGAAAAAGATAGATCAATGAAAACGAAGGGCTTAAAATACGATCAATAAAACGAAGAGCATAAGATAGTAAAATGTTTATAACAAAATTAACAATAAAAGTAGAATCTTGCATAAAACAAGTAATAACCTGATAAACGTAACAATCCAAAAGTCACGGAAACAATAAAAGAGTTTTATTAAAATCAATGACCATACGAAAATCTAGCACATGTATGATATCAAAAATTTATTGCACAAATACAGATAAAGTCATCAGGATCAATCATCCAATCGGATCCAAGAGTTTGTAAACATCGTTAACTTGCAACGTTGTCACTCGAAACCAGGAACGGGAGAAATCTACGCAGTAGAGTTTAGGGCACAGGGGCATGGGGCATGCCTATGGGCATGCCCAGGGACCGTCAAAAATTTTTTAAAAAATTTATCTAAATTTTCTAAAATTTTCGATAATTTTCGAAATTTATCCAAATAAAAGTGAGTTTTTTTGCAGATCTTAAAAATTGACCAATCAGAATGCAACCCAATATCACGTTATAACTGATCCCATATTCTGATTGGTAGTAATGCATCACGTTATAGCTAGTCAAATCATTGAACAAATTACGCAATAATGACTCAAAAAAAAAAAAAAAAACTTTCTTACAATTTGGTACTGTACCTTTTCGCTTTTTTGGCGAATACTTTTCTTATAACTTGGTGTTTCTTCGCTTTTTTGGCGAACTTTTTTTTTGTTATTACATACAAGATTAAAGACATAAATCCTAAGAATCGGTTTTTTTTTTTTTTTTTTTTTTGACCTTTTTTTTTTTTTTTTTTTTTTTATCAAAAACAATGGGACACCGCAAAGAAGTTACAATTCAAATGCGGGCACAAGAATTTAAAGAACATTTTCATATAGAAGGCAATAAATTAATGTGCCGTTTTTGCCATCATAGTATTAATTGGGAGAATAAAGTTACAGTTACTACACATATCAAATCTAATAGTCACAAAGATGCACAAAAAAAATATCAAAATAATCGTCAACTTACTCTCCAATCATCATTAACAGCCTCCGAAGCAAAGCAAAAAATTATCATAGATCTGCTTAAGGCTTGTGTAAAAGCGGACATTCCTATTGAAAAAATAGATAAGCTTCAAGATTTTTTAAAAGAACATTGCCGTGAAGGTGGTGCTATTCCTTCTTCCTCTGTTCTTCGGCATCAATACTTGCCAGCCATTTTTAATCAACATGTTATGGAACTTAAAAATAAGTTTTGTGGAAAATCTGTATCTGTAATTGTTGATGAAACCACAGATGTAAAAGCACGTAGTGTAGTCAATGTGTTATTCAGTTATAGAAGCAGTACAAAACTTATTTCAGTAGAATTTTTAGAGCAAGTGAATAATGTTACTATTGGTCAATTGATTCTTAGGATTTTGACTGAATGGTCAATTTCATTTAGCTCCCCTTATATTTTTGTATCTGACTCAGCACAATATATGAAAAAGTGTGCGAAAGATATTTTAATTCCAATTATGCCACAGCTTAAGCATAATACGTGTTGCGCACATATTCTGAATTTGATAAGGTTAGGAAATATAAAAACAAAATGACTTTTCGGGACTATAGTCCTGAAAAGTCATTTTGTTAAAAATTATATAATATTTTAATATTTTATTAATTTTGATTATTTATTATTTTTTTTAATTCTATTTAGTGAAGCATTTATATCTATTGACTCTTTTAATAATGTTAAGAAGCTTATCGTCAATATTAAAAAGACCATGACACATTCAAAAATACGATGCAATCGATATATGAACTATCTTCGACGACATGGGCTTTTGGACTATAATCTAATTCAATCTGATATGGATTTATCAAATCAAATAAATAAAAAACTATTAACTGCTCGGTTTATACCTCTTCCGAATACTACAAGGTGGAGTTCCTGGCTTGAGATGGCTTTTTATGTTTATGATTATCTTGAGTATATTCGTGGTTTTTATGTTGAAGAAAAAGAAATAGAAGCTTCTGAACCAGTTAATGTTATTGTTGCTCTTTTTTCAAACCAAAATACTAATGGTTTAATTGAGTTGTATCTTACTTTTATTCATTCGCACGCACCTCAATTTATGTTAGATTTAGAATTTTTTCAAAAAGAATGTGAACCCTTCTTTCCATATGTAGAAAATCGTATTCAGCAGTTAGAAACATATATATATAATGGTATGACATTTTCTAATTTCGGTCCTAGTGTTAATTTTGTTATTGAAAAATTTAATGCTACTACTACTGCTTTTGAGACTATATTTCAAGCAGCATATAAAGCTGCATATACTAAGTTTTCAAATCATTTATCTAATCATCCGTCTAGAGCTTTGTTTAAAGCTGTTCAAATTTTTGATCCTCGTTATCTTCAATTAGCATCAACTCATCGTGATATTCAAAAATATTGTAATGAAATTTCTCAACTTTCTAATCCATCTGTATCTCTTCTTCATGAATGGGGTTTGTATTGTAATTTAGAATTAGCTAAATTCGAATATTCAAACCTTGAGGATTTTTGGAAAAAAGTTTTGCCCATGCTTCCCCTTTTAAGTGAAATAGCTTTTAATTACATTTGGCTTCCAATTTCTTCATGTGCTATAGAGTGTAGTTTTTCTGTTTATAACAATATTTTAACTGATAATCGACACAATTTAAATACTGAATCACTTAAAATGCTGAGTATGATGTATTTTAATGCAATTAAAGAATAAAAATTCGATTTTATATAATCGAAATTTGTCATAATATTTGTAAAAATTATTAAAATTTATTAAAATATTTGTAAGAATAATCAAAATTTATCGAAATATCTATAAAAAATAATCGAAATATCTTAGAATTATCAAAATAATATTTGACGGTCTCTGGGCATGCCTCATGCCCTTGTCATGTGATGTTTAAAGTTATTTTAATTAGCCAATAAGTTCAGGTAAACTAGAACCGTAGATACTAAATCAACATGTAAGATTTTTAAGAAGTTGTGAACTATATGTTAATCATATGATTTAAAAAGGGCATGCCCATGGGCATGAGGGGCATGCCCATGGGCATGAGGGCATGCCTTAGCTCAGGGGCATGCCCATGGGCATGAGGGGCATGCCTTAGCTCAGGGGCATGCCCATATGTGGCATGCCCAATTATTTTCCCATGCCCTGAACCCTACTACGCAGACACCATTTCAGTCATGGGAAATCATATTTTTCATTGCAATCCATTCCTGGTAAAAGAAAATGATTCTTTATAAAAGAAGTTGATAGTACTTGCAATCTGAATATTGGTTTTGAATTTAGTGACTAACCTAAAAATCTATTAATGAGATCAATGTCTGACTGCTATATAGTTGGTTAGCTAGCATTATTTAGTTTCGATGAATCTAATTCAAAATTCTGGGGCCCTGCAAAAAACATTAAAATCTATGAAACATATCTACATGATCGACAAATTCTTTTGATTAAGTCTTTGATGATCATTGATTATCATTTTATCTGCTCAATAAAAAATTCAATGAAAAAAAATGAAAATTACAAAATATTTAGCATTGAGGCCTTTAAATTTACATTGGGTCACTAATTTTTGTGCCAAAAAAATTATTTTTACTATTGTTTGTTATTTTATCTTTAATTTTAAAGATGCATGTGCTCATCTATAAGTTTTTTTTTTTTTTTTTTTTTTACTGAACTATGAATAAGTCATGTGGACAAATCAATTCCAATATTTTGTATACAGAGACATAGTACCTACCTATTAAAGTATTGTTCGGGTGCTACACAAGATCATGATGAAGGATAATTCAAACATATGTTAAGAATCACACATATCATTTTACTCTTAAAGGTAGGGTTTAGTATAAGATTAAAGGTTCTAAAGAACTGCTTTAAAGACTTAGTAATTATAACATATTTTCATCAGCATCGATCAGGATTGTTGATAGGCAGAAGTAGGTAAATAGATATAAAAACTAGAGAGGTTAAATAAAGAACCTACAAGCAGATTTCAGATATAGCAGTTAGTATAAAACTTTTGGGTGAACTACTTAATTTAGACAATAACTAAAGTTGTACAAGTGTTTAGTTTACACTCTTTTTATAGTTGCTTTCTGTGGTTATAATATAATTATTAGCCAAATATATTATCAATAAAATTCTAGGTCACAAGTACTTATCTTAATATTTAAAAAAAAAAACTATGTAATGTAATAATTTTAAATTATACAATATTTATAAAAAAAACTATATACATATTTATATTATTATAATTTGAACTACCATTATATAGGGGTGTGGTGACTTAGTGAAGTGGATAGGTTGTCAACTCCCAAGTGGCAGGTTTAAAGTTCAAATCCCAGTAACGATGAATATTTGCAATTCTTTCTGTATTATGGTTAACTGTCTTCTGTGATTGGTTAAGATAGGATACCTATAACCTGTGTCATACCAGCCTGACTGGAAGGTCTAGGCATTTGTGCAATGTTGCACAAAAAAACACAAACCGGTACCAGGCAATGTGAACCCAAGATAAGTTCTTAGGTCATGTAAATCATAGGAACCAGGTAGGAAGATGGAAGCCTACTTGGAAGATCTGAGTAGAGAGGTAACCCGAACTTTCGATAGTGTCACTGTAAAGACTAGACCTATGAAACAGAACTAGAACTTGTGAAACTGGGCAAAGAGCCAGCCTTTTAGGAGGGGCCAAATGGAACCAAACAGGCCACTGGAATTTTCAGATTCTGGAAGAAAAGGTTACATGCCGGCAAACATATAAACTAGAGATATATAGTTACGACCTGCCTTTCTAGGCTATCTGGTTTGGGACCTTGGTGGAACTTGAATTGAATACCAAAATAGTAGGGATATGTTGTGAAGTCAGTACTAGGGTTGGGGTAAACTCTACAAGAACATAGCAGTTAAATGGTATGCCCTGACCACCAGTGTTGATCTCGGCCATAGCGATACCAGGTCAGCTGTAAAAATGGGATACAGAAAATTTCGGAAGGTTTAGTACAAGGTCAAAGTTTTCCTATATGAGTAAACTGCTTTAAAGACTTAATGACTATGGCATATTTGAACTGGTATCGACTGGGGCATCTTGGTAGGTGTAGATAGGTGGGTGGATACAGAAACAGAGTGGTTAAATAAGAAACCTACAAGCAGGTTTTAGGTATGACAGCTAGTGTAGAACTTTGGGCAGACTACTTAAATTAGACAATGACTAAAGTTGTACAAATGGCTAGTTGTATACTCTTTCCATAGTTGCTCCCTGTAGTTGTAATGCAACCATTAGCTAAATGTACTATCAATAAAATCCTGGGTCGCAAGTACTCACCTTAATATTTAAAAAAAAAAAACTACCATTGTATAATGTAATAATATAAATTTAAAAAAATTTAATAATTATTATATATGCATTTAAAAGTACTAGTTTCTTTAAGCAATGTGATAATATAGTGGATCTTTTCAAAATGTATTTACTAGTAAATTTGTAGGTCTAAATTTTGTATAATAATGTATTGTATTAAACTGTATATATACACTAACTTGGAAATAAAATAAAAAATATATTATACAATGGAATAAATTTAGAAGCTCTCATAATATATTTTTTATTTTATTTTTAAATTAGTGCACATGTATAAGTTAATATAATATTTTATAATACAAAATTAGTATCTACAAATCTACTAGTAAATTTATTTTAAAAAGGTCAAGTAATTTGTTGTAATAATAAATATATTAAAAAATATATAGCTTGTTTGAAATATGATAAGTAAAGAAAAAAAATTATTTATTTATTTAATATTAATAACTAATTACTAGATACATTAGAAATTATTAAATCTATTTGTTCTTGAGAGAAATTATAAATTTTATTTGCTATTGTAATATTAATTCTTTTAATTTTTTTAACACCAACTCCCTCAAATAATCTATACACCTTATTGGTTTTTTTAACCTTTTTTCTTTATTAGTTCATTATATACTTTAGATATTATATTTTTTCTAGTTTGATGTTTGCTTAATCTTTTTTTAACTTGATGTTTGAATTTTTGTAAAAACCTATATTAGCTTCTAATTACTTTTTACTTTGCATTTGATTTATTTTTTTCTATATATAAAACCTTATTAAAAAGTTATACTAGAATTAGAATTAATATTGTTATTAATATTAACATTATTATTGTTAAAATTATAATTATTTCTTATATAAAAGTATTTAATTATTTAATTAAATGTTTTATTTTTCTAGTCATAATAGCAGTAGGTGTAAATACAAATGTAACAGTAGTGGCCATAGATGTAAGTGCAGATATAGCATCAGTAGTAGTAGTAGATATAGGTGCAGAAAATATAATATTAGTAATAGTAGCAGATGTTAGTGAAGAAAATATAGTAGTAG